GGGACGCGCGGGCGGAGCTGTTCCAAGCCTCTCAGCCTTACCTTTCCCAACTGAACACCTAGATGGATTTTCAATACCCCGCCTGACAGGTTCCGGAGGGAGCTATAGCTCCTCCTGAGCTCCCAGCCCCGCTACCCGATTTCTGCAGTTGGTGTTCCAGGGGGAAATGCAGGGGCTCTGGGCACTAAAAGCTTTATTAGAGATTCTCGGTGATTCATTCAGTCTCCTGAACACTGCCGCTCTCAAAGAGCTGCAGGCAACAAACGCGCCGCTGTGGTCCTTCGCGCTCACAATGCCCTCTGCTTAGGACTGGTTTCCACCGCTCAGTGTTTGCGTGGGCTCGTTCTGCCGCAGCCGGGTCCAAAGGGAGTTGGACCCCTAGAAAACATCAGTGCGCCACCAGACCGCACACGCACTTTGCAGGAGCGGTCTCCCGCGTCGGTCCGGAGGTAGGGCGCTCTAGGATCCGAGGCCGGATCAACTGCAGGTCTGAACTGCTGGGCAAGCAGGGGAGGAGGTAGGGGTGTAGGGTCTTGGGCAGCGCGGCCGAGGGGAGCTGAGGTCGCTGGCATCACCAACCAGGAGAGAGCAGCAACTGAGGGAAACAGCTGAACTCCAGACACCTATGTCTTGGGTTCACTTTGGTCTTTACTTTGAATAGTAGTGGGGTGGGTGGGATTTATCCTTCCGGAAGGCTATAAACTTCCTGGGTCCCTCCGAGGTGTGGGTAAAAATGCTGAGAGGGAAATCTGAAGCAATTCTTTAGTTAAGCCCTGGGAAGCCTTGGAAGGGGAAAAAAAAAAAAAAAAAAAACCTGGGGGAGTGGGGACAAACCACCTATGTGCCTCTCCCCTCCTTTTTTCCCGTAGTTGCTGACGCGATGGTGTTGCCTATTAATCATTCACCAGTCCAGAGCAGGGCCACTTAAAGGCTGTGCAGCGCAGGACTCTGGCTTCTTGGCCTCCGCTCTCCACGCTCCAGTGTGCCCAAGGCGCCCCGGAGCTGCAGGAGGCCGCGCGCTAGCAGCCGCTGAGCTATGCGCCCCGCTGGCTCCGGTAGGAGCCCGGCTAGACTCGGCTGCCACGCGCTGCCCAGAGGCGCCAGTCGGCTGTGAGCTGCAAGCCAACGGCCGGGTGCGGAAGGAGGACTCGGGCAGCCGGGCGCAAGGTGAGCACCGCAGGGCCGGTAGCCCCACCGGCCCCCATCAGCTGGGATGTTTCCCAATGGCACCGCCTCCTCTCCTTCCTCTTCTCCTAGCCCCAGCACTGGCAGCTGCGGGGAAGGCGGCTGCAGCAGGGGCCCGGGGTCTGGCGCTGCGGACGGCATGGAGGAGCCGGGCAGAAATGCATCCCAGAATGGGACCTTAAGCGAGGGCCAAGGCAGCGCCATCCTCATCTCGTTCATCTACTCTGTGGTGTGCTTGGTGGGACTGTGCGGGAACTCCATGGTCATCTATGTGATCCTCCGTTACGCCAAGATGAAGACAGCCACCAACATCTACATCCTAAACCTGGCCATTGCTGATGAGCTGCTCATGCTCAGCGTGCCCTTTCTGGTCACTTCCACGTTGTTGCGCCACTGGCCCTTCGGCGCGCTCCTTTGTCGCCTTGTGCTCAGCGTGGACGCGGTCAATATGTTCACCAGCATCTACTGTTTGACTGTGCTTAGTGTGGACCGCTATGTGGCCGTGGTGCACCCCATCAAGGCAGCCCGTTACCGTCGGCCCACCGTGGCCAAGGTGGTGAACTTGGGGGTGTGGGTGCTATCGCTGCTTGTTATCTTGCCCATCGTGGTCTTCTCGCGCACAGCGGCCAACAGCGACGGCACGGTGGCCTGCAACATGCTCATGCCCGAGCCTGCTCAACGCTGGTTGGTGGGCTTCGTGTTATACACGTTTCTTATGGGCTTCCTGCTGCCTGTCGGGGCCATCTGCCTATGTTATGTGCTCATCATAGCCAAGATGCGCATGGTGGCCCTCAAGGCCGGCTGGCAGCAGCGCAAGCGCTCGGAGCGCAAGATCACTCTAATGGTGATGATGGTAGTGATGGTGTTTGTCATCTGCTGGATGCCTTTCTACGTGGTGCAGCTGGTCAACGTGTTTGCTGAGCAGGACGACGCCACCGTGAGCCAGTTGTCGGTCATCCTTGGCTATGCCAACAGCTGCGCCAATCCCATCCTCTATGGCTTCCTCTCGGACAACTTCAAGCGCTCTTTCCAGCGCATCCTGTGCCTCAGCTGGATGGACAACGCCGCGGAGGAGCCGGTGGACTACTACGCCACTGCGCTGAAAAGCCGCGCTTACAGTGTGGAGGACTTCCAGCCCGAGAACCTGGAGTCTGGCGGCGTTTTTCGTAATGGCACCTGCACTTCCAGGATCACCACGCTTTGAACCGAGCGGGGGAGGCGGGAGGGGGGGGGTGGTGACGAGAAGGGGAGGCGGGGTAGGAATGAAAGATGAGGAAACACCTAAGGAAACAGCTTGGTGCGGTGGGAATCAGGCGGGGTTGGTTGCGCGGCCACCGGACTGGGTTCTGGGAAAGTCTTGTGACCAAGGTAAAACCCAGAGCTTTGTTTACCAACTGGGAAGGCTTTCAGGCCATCTTCTCAGTCCCTCCTCTTTGGAGTCTTTCCTACACTGCACTCACTCCCCACTAATTCTTCTCTTCTCCAAACCCTGTAACTTCAGTTCTTTTTCCCAGTTCTGTCCGTGCACACCAGGAACTTATTTATGTTGCCAAGAGTCTCACCCTAATCCTTTCTAGCCAGTATTTCTGTTTGCTTAAGCTGAGCCACGGTTATGGCCACGTGTTTGTTTCCCTTCGGGAAGAATCCCCAGCTCCTGTTCAGCCTCTGCCCAGTGCAGCTAAGCACACTGTCTCCAAGTACTGCTCTCAGTGTGCACAGCCTTACTTTAAGGGAAGCCAGGCTTGAGGAATGAAAAAACAGCTGGTCTTTTTTTACTCTCAGGGAAGGTGTATCCTTCCTTCCCTAGGCCCCTCCACTCCCACTTGGTCCAGAGCTGAACCTGGTGCTTTGGAAAATAGGTTTTGAGTTTCAAACCCCAGACTAGTGTAGTCCTTACACACACAGAAACACAGACACACAGACACACAGACAGACAGACACACACACACACACACACACACACACACACCCCACACACCCTTCTTTGGTTCGAAGAGGAGGTGAGAATAAGAGGAAGGATGAAGTTTGTAGAGATTTCTGGGTTGTGAGTGTGAGTGCTTCCTCTTTCCCAGACCACCACAGGGCTGTGGCTCATAAGAGCAAAAGGTTCCAAAGTCCCAGCTCCTTGTGCTTGTGACCTAAAAGTCCAGCACTTTCACAGGGGTTGGCCAGGGCTGTTAGCTTCACTGAGCTTCCCACCTCTCCTCCAGAGAGTAACAACTGGACTAGGTCTCTCTCTCCAGTTTATGTTGCAGATTTGGTGCAGGGGCCTCTGGCAACTTTAGAGCCTTGGCTAAAGCTGGCCCTGTGGCAGCCTGCAGATTTCAAAGTGTAGCCCTGGTCCCTGAGGGGTTCTGCCTTTAAGCGGTGCCTAATTTTTTCTTGTTTAACATATTTATTTATTTTCGCGGTGTTGGAAAACATGATTTTTGCTTTCTTTTTCTTTACTCCTCTAACAGGTCTGCTTTGGGGGATCCCAGGGGGCTGGAATGGGGTGGGAAAGGAGAAAGCACTCTCCTAACCCCAAAGCCCCCTCAAAACTTGCCCTGTTTTGGGCCTTCTTATCCCTTTCTCTAGCCTTCCCAATTTTGTCTGTATCCAGTGAAGTTTGGAGATTTTTCATACTTTTCTTGTTGTAGTTCCTTGTCTTATAATAGATAAACAGCAATGTGGGTTAGCTTCCTTTCCCTCCAGAGTAAATCCTAAAATCTTGGCATCCCAGGAAACATATGGGGGATCACACTGTATATGATTTGTGCATATGTATGTATGTGCATATATATATATATATATATATGTTTATCTTGATCCACTTTCACAGTCCACGAATCAATTCCAAGTACAGCCCCAAAGTGACAAGTGTGAGCCCAGCTGGAACATTTGCAATTTCAGGTTTAAGTAGCAGACAAACTTGGATCTGAGAAATGGCAGAGACTTTACTCACCCTGAGGATGTCCTTGCTTCTTCTAGGTCCCAGCAGAAGTGGTTCTTAAGTACATTAGTTAACACAGCCATTTCTTTGGAGGAATGGAAGTGAAATGACTGAGCAGGACAAGGACCAATAATTTTGCTTCTCTGTGTTTCCTGTATTCTTTGATATGCTTATTTGTACATAGAAGACACTGGACACATGTCTCGGTTGGTTGTTTAAGTAAACTAGTGTGTTTCAGTGATCCTGGGATATTAAGTCTGGTATTCTCAGGACCTCTCACTGATACGACACAGAATGGCTGAATGCACTGAAAAGGATGTTTTGTGTGCATTTGCTTCAAGAACATCCTGCTTTTCTGCAGGCAGTAACCAAGAGTTAACAATGTCTCTTACATTTTGTTTAAACAAATGAACAAATGTGCTTCTGACATAAACCAGAAAGTTTAGATCTCTTCCTAAGAACAGCATATATATTCTTATTCTTATTCTTCTGTTAAATAGATTTGTAATAGCTAAGAACCGTGAATTTACAAACAGAAATCTCTATCATTATCATCTTATCAAGACACAAACCTAGTGCTCTTAACCTGTTGCCATTATAATTAACTAAATAAACAGATGTATTAAGCCGTTGCAAGTTGTCTTGACTTCCATTTGAATTTTCCTTCTTCAGGGGGCTATTTGGACATGCATGTCTGATCTCACTAATTTCACACATTTTTGTACATTTCACTAAGATTTTAAGAAGCTTTCAGATTAACTTTGAAATATTATCAAGATTATATTTATCCTTTTAATTACTTTCTTTAAAAAGGGAGTATGTGTGTGTGTGTGTATGTGTAGAGGAGCAACAAAGAGAGTAGAAAGAAAAGAGGGAAACGGAGGAGGAGGAAGGGGGGGAGGAAAGAAGGGAGGGAGGGAGGGAAGACAAGAGCAGTAACAACAACAAGGACTGCTGAGCATGAATAGAAAGCAATACCCAGGGTTACACTCTGTTGTCGTCAAACTAACCAGACATACCTGCTTTCCTAGATGAAAGTTGCTGTCTGCTCTCATTTATGACCCCTGCTTTTGTGGTGGAGCTAAGTAACTACTGATGTACATCTGAGGAAATATGATGATAGGGAGAAGTACTTCTTACATGTGTTGCAGAGGGTAATGTGCAAAAGAGAGAGAAGTATCAGATCTCAGTGTAACAGGAGGGTGTGTTTTACTCCTTGCTCACTTGTGACCATTCCTTCCTGGAGGCTATAACAAGACATGGCGAGGATATGTTTTTAACAGGCTTTACTTTTTATAGCAGTCTTATTTTCACAGTGAAATGAGTGGAAGTCATATTTCTCAAGCAGATGAGAGAGGTAATTCCAGTATCATAGTCAGGTGGGGGCTTCGAATGCTTGCAAATGCCATGTAACTACAGAATTCATCTGGTTTTAGACATTATCTTAGTGTGGCTAAGAAGAGCTGTACTTTTGTATTTCAATTGTTTTTAAAAGCCACAGCAAGGTATTAAATACAAAGTTTAACCTGCAACTTAGATATGTAATACTTTTTT